ATTATTTGCCCCAGGGGTACAGGTCTGTGACTCATCAGGTTTACACACTTCACAGCACTCACCCTAGCACATACCCTCCCCAGTGTCCATAACCCAACCACCCTGTCTTTCTCCCCTGCAACCCTCAGTTTGTTCTGTGAGATTATAGTTTTCTCTTACGGTTTGTTTCCCTCCTGATCCCATCTTTCATTTTTTTCCTTCCCTACCCCTCAAACCCCCCACTTTGCCTCTCAAGTTCCTCATATCAGGGAGATCATATGATAATTGTCTTTCTCTAACTTATTTCACTCAGCATAATACCCTCTAGTTCCATCCACGTCATCACAAATGGCAAGATTTCATTTCTTTTGGTGGCTGCATAGTATTCCATTGTATATATATATACCACATCTTCTTTATCCGTTCATCTCTTGATGGACATCTAGGTTCTTTCCATAGTTTGGCTATTGTGGACATTGCTGCTATAAACATTCGGGTGCTCCTGCCCCTTCGGATCACTGCATTTGTATCTTTAGGGTAAATACCCAGTAGTGTAATTGCTGGGTCATAGGGTAGCTCTATTTTCAACTTTTTGAGGAACTTCCATGCTGTTTTTCGGAGTGGCTGCACCAGCTTTCATTCCCACCAACAGTGTAGGAGGGTTCCCCTTTCTCTGCATCCTCGTCAGCATCTGTCATTTCCTGACTTGTTAATTTTAGCCATTCTGACTGGTGTGAGGTGTTATCTCATTGTGGTTTTGATTTGTATTTCCCTGATGCCGAGTGATGTGGAGCACTTTTTCATGTGTCTGTTGGCTATCTGGATGTCTTCTTTGCAGAAATGTCTGTTCATGTCCTCTGCCCATTTCTTGATTGGATTATTTGTTCTTTGGGTGTTGAGTTTGATAAGTTCTTCATATATTTTGGACACTAGCCCTTTATCTGATACATCCTTTGCAAATATCTTCTCCCATTCTTTCAGTTGTCTTTTGGTTTTATTGGCTGTTTCCTTTGTTGTGCAAAAGCTTTTGATCTTGATCAAGTTCTAATAGTTCATTTTTGCCCTTGCTTCCCTTGCCTTTGGCAATGTTTCGATGAAGAAGTTGCTGTTGCTGTATCGAAGAGGTTGCTGCCTGTGTTCTCCTCAAAGATTTTGATGGATTCCTGTCTCACATTGAGGTCTTTCATCCATTTGGAGTCTATTTTTGTGTGTGGTGTAAGGAAATGGTCCAGTTTCATTTTTCTGCATGTGGCTGTTCAATTTTCCCAACACCGTTTTTTGGAGACTGTCTTTTTTCCATTGGACATTCTTTCCTGCTTTGTTGAATATTAGTTGACCATAGAGTTGAGGGTCTATTTCTGGGCTCTGTTCTGTTCCATTGATCTGTGTGTCTGTTTTTGTGCTAGTACCATACTGTCTTGATGATGACAGCTTTTTAATAAAGCTTGAAGTCTGGAATTGTGATGCCACCAACTTTGGCTTTCTTTTTCAACATTCCTCTGGCTAGTCGAGGTCTTTTCTGGTTCCATATAAATTTTAGGATTATTTGTTCCATTTCTTCGAAAAAAATTGATGGTACCTTGATGGGGATTGCATTAAACATGTAGATTGCTTTAGGTAGCATAGATATTTTCACAATATCTGTTCTTCCAATCCATGAGCATGGAACATTTTTCCATTTCTTTGTGTGTCTTTCTCAGTTTCTTTCATGAATACTTTATAGTTTTCTGAGTACGGATTCTTTACCTCTTTGGTTAGGTTTATTCCTAGGTATCTTTTGGTATTGGGCGCAATTGTAAATGGGATCGACTCCTTAATTTCTCTTTCTTCTGTCTTGTTGTTGGTGTATAGAAATGCAACTGATTTCTGTGCACTGATATTATATCCTGACACTTTACTGAATTCTTGTACAAATTCTAGCAAATCTGGAGTGGAGTCTTTGGCTTTTCCATAGAAAGTATCATATCATCTGCAAAGAGCGACAGTTTAACTTCTTCTTTGCCAATTTGGACACCTTTAATTTCTTTTTGTTGTCTGATTGCTGAGGCTAGGACTTCTAGTACTATGTTAAATAGCAGTGGTGATAATGGACATCCCTGCTGTGTTCCTGACCTTAGCAGAAAAGCTCTGTTTTTCTCCATTGAGAATGGTATTTGCTGTGGGTTTTTCATGGATGGCTTTGATGATATTGAGGTAGGTACCCTCTACCCCTACACTGTGAAGAGTTTTGATCAAGAAAGGATGCTCTACTTTGTCAAATGCTTTTTCAGCATCTGTTGAGAGTATCATATGGTTCTTGTTCTTTCTTTTATTAATGTATTGTATCACATTGATTGATTTGTGGGTGTTGAACCAACCTTGTAGCCCTGGAACTAATCCCACTTGGTTGTGGTGAATAGCCTTTTAATGTACTGTTGGATCCTATTGACTAGTATTTTGGTGAGAATTTTTGCATCTGCGTTCATCAAGGATATTGGTCTGTAATTTTTTGATGGGGTCTTTGTCTGGTTTGGGGATCAAGGTAATGCTGGCCTCATAAAATGGGTTTGGCAGTTTTCCTTCCATTTCTATTTTTTTGGAACAGTTTCAGGAGAACAGATATTAATTTTTCTTTAAATGTTTGGTAGAATTCCCCTGGGAAGCCCTTTGGCCCTGGGCTCTTGTTTGTTGGGAGATTTTTGATAACTGCTTCAATCTCCTTACTGGTTATGGGTCTGTTTAGGTCTTCTTTTTCTTCCTTGTTCAGTTTTGGTAGTTGTTTTTTGTTTTGTTTTGTTTTTAAGATTATTTATTTATTTGACACAGAGAGGGAGATCACAAGTAGGCAGAGAGTCAGGCAGAGAGGGGGGTGGGCAGCAGGCTCCCTGCTGAGCAGAGAGCCCGATGCGGGACTCGATCCCAGGAGCCTGAGATCATGACCTGAGCCAAAGGCAGAGGCTTTAACCCACTGAGCCACCCAGCGCTCCCAGTTTTGGTAGTTTATACATCTCTAGGAATGCATCCATTTTAAAGTTTTACTGTTAATATGACTATCTGACCATTTTATGTGAAAATAACATTTCTCCCTTCCCTTCCTGAGCATGTGGTGGTCCCTTATCTGTTCTCCCCTTCAGGAGTTAGGGATTTTTCAGAGTTGTCCTTATTGCAGTCAAATGCTCTACCACTGAGCTATACCCCCTAGAGTTGTCCTTATTGATTTGCATTAAAGTATCTACCTAATTTGACCTGGCTTCCATTGAGACTAGTGATTTAGGCCCAAGAACTAGCTGACTGAGCTTGTGGTATATTTTCCTAGCACAAAGTTAATGGCCCATTTGACAAATGAGTTCTAGATCTTTCCTCTTTCTGAAACCCATGTTCTATCAACTGAGCTAAGAGTTAAGTGCCTATAAAGTGAATTAATAAAGCAAAATTCAAGCCTTCTAAGGCACAGTATTTATAAAATACATATAAATTCAAAAGCTGGTGAAGCTGGAGTGGGGCAGAGGTATTTATTTGTCTCTTTTTAACTGTGTGCATGTATTATTAATGATAAACATTTAACACATTTGTTAAAATTTTATTTTTCTTTTTCCTTTTTTTTTTTTTTAAGATTTTTATTTTAAGTAATCCCTACACACAATGTGGGGCTTGAACTCACAGACAAATGACATTTTTTTAAAAGATGTTCTAGGGGTGCCTAGGTGGCTCAGTCAGTTTAGTGCTTAACTCTTGCTTTCAGATCGGGTCATGATCTCCATCCAGGTCATGAGATCATGTTCCTCGCCCAGTGTGGAGTTGGCTTGAGATCCTCTTCCTCTCCCTCTGCCCCCTCTCCCACAGGCTCACTTGTACTCTCTGTCTCTCTCTCAAATGAATAAATGTTTAAAACAAAAGTTCTAAAAATGCAAAATGAATAAATGATTGTGACATCATTAGAAATCTTGCCATCTTGGATTACTTTTTGTTTTTAGTTCTTTTTTCATCCTGGAATACTTTATTTATTATTATTATTATTATTTTTTAAGACTTTATTTATTTGAGAGAGTGAGAAAGAGTTTGGGAGAGAGCACAGAGGGAGGGGGCAACAGGAGAGGAAGGAACAGATTCCCCACTGAGCAGGGAGCCTAACCTGGGGTGACCTGAGCTGAAGGCAGACACTTAACCTACTGAGCCACCTAGGTGCCCCCCTAGATTACTTTAGATGTCTTTTGGTGTGCTTGTAAAGTGCCACGCCCAGAACTGAACTGAGATTCTTGGGTAGTCTGAGGAGCCCTTTAGTGGGGCATATTGAGCATTCTGGCTTTTGGACATTATCTGTGCTATGATTTTGATAATTTTACATTAACTATCTAGTTTTGTTTAAAGAAAAGTTAATTTTAGAAGTTTCTTGTATATAATTTTTTATGTTTATTTAAAGGTTTTATTTGAGAGAAAGGGTGAAGCAGACTCCCCACTGAATGGGGAACCTGACATGGGTCTAGATCCCAGGACCCCAAGATCATGACCTGAGCCAAAGGCAGATGCTTAACTGACTGAGCCACCTAGGCACCCCATAACTTTTTAAGTTTATATAATAAATAATTATATAGCACTTTGTAGTATTTAACATGTACCAGATACTATTTTATAAATACTAACTTTTAACTTTATATACAACTATTAAAATGTTTTTTATGAATTGTAGAAATTTGTTAATTTGGGGCTCCTGAGGGGCTCCGTCAGTTAAGCATTTGACTCTTGGTTTTGACTCAGGTCATGGTCTCAGGGTTGTGAGATTGAGCCTCTGGGCACAGAGTTTGCCCCAGATTGTCTCTCTCCCTCTGCCCCTTCTCCCCTCTTAAAAAAAGTTGTTAATTTACTGCTATATATCTCTCAGACAGCAGACGTATGTTTCCTGATACTGCTGTGTGATCATACCGACTTGGGGTAGTATTCATTAAATAATCAATTATTAAGTCAATTAAGTTATATCCGTAAGTATAACTAAAGTATAAATTTAAATTAACATTTTTAAATTACCTTTTTCATTTTCATTTCAGCTTTACCAACAGGGACGCTTATGTCAACTGGGCAGTGAATTTTGTGAATTGGAAGTTTTTGCTAAAGTATTGAGAGCTTTGGATAAAAGGTAAAATCACTTTTTAAAAAAATTATAGTAAACTATAAATGTCTGAATTTTACCATTGTAACTTCTTAGGTGTACTTCACTGGCATTAAGTGCAATTCCCATTGTGAAACCATCAGTACCACCTTGCTTTTTGTGTTCAAGAAAATGAGATTGAATTCATCTTTCCCATGGTAGCTGTTACCATGTAGTAAGAGCCATATACATGTATAGTGACACAGCCTTTGATTATACTTGCTATTTTCTTTAGCATTCTTCCCAGAATTTGCTTTAAAAGCCATTTCTTTTTCCTAACTCTAGGAAAATAAGAATGTAGTTTTTACGAAATACTGCTGTCTCTAATAAGAACATTATCAAGTTCCATTTGTTCAACAAATTAACTAAGTATATACTTGTTGAATGCCTAGTCTTTGTTAGGTACTGTTGAAGATTTGGGATTACAGCAGTGAATAAAATCTGTGTCTCTTTTTGGTGGATTTTATATTTTAGAGAAGAATGATAAAATAATAAACAGGTGGAGCGCCTGTGTGGCTCAGTGGGTTAAAGCCTCTGTCTTTGGCTCAGGTCATGATCCCAGGGTCCTGGGATGGAGCCCACATCGGGCTCTCTGCTCAGCAGGGAGCCTGCTTCTCTCTCTCTCTCTCTCTGCCTGCCTCTCTGCCTACTTGTGATCTCTCTCTCTGGGTCAAATAAATAAATAAAATCTTAAAAAAAATAATAGTAATAATAAACAGGTAAATAATAAGCATAATTTCAGTATTCAGGGGTAACTTTGAAATGTGGCCTTTGTATTATAGAGAAACTGCTGGTTGAATAATTAAATCTGTTTTTTAAAAAAAAAAACATAAATGAGAACTTCATTTTGATAAAGAAGGCTACAGAAAAACTTTTTTCAAAAACATTCTTTAAGGGGTGCCTGGGTGGCTCAGTGGGTTAAGCCTCTGCCTTTGGCTCAGGTCATGATCTCAGGGTCCTGGGATCGAGTCCCGCATCGGGCTCTCTGCTCAGCGGGAAGCCTGCTTCCCCGGTGCTCTCTGCCTGCCTCTCAGCCTACTTGTGATCTCTGTCTGTGAAATAAATAAATAAATAATAACCTTTAAAAAAAAAAAATTCTTTAAGAACAGGTTAGCTTTCTGGGATTTGAATTTCTCTGTACAATTCTAAATATGGCCATTGTAAAGATTTAGTGGAATACCTCTCTTTCATCTCTCAGGTTATCTTTCACCAAGTCCAAATCCCTTGGTAAGTGTTTAATATATTTGTAAAACTAAAAGCATGTAGTTTGACTTTTTTCCCCTTTATTCAAAGCAGTGATTCTGTTATTTACAGTTGTTATTTACAATTTTTTATTGAGATATAATTCACATACCACCACATTCACCATTTTAAATTGTACAGTTCAGTGGCTTTTAGTGTATTCACAAGGTTTTGCAACCATCACCACTTTCTAATTCTAGAACATTTTCATCACCTCAAAAAGAAATCCTGTACCCATTAACAGTCACTTCTTATTTCCTCTTACCCTGGCCTACCATTAATCAACTTTCTGTCTCTGAATTTACCTATTCTAGACACATCATATAAAGACAATCATAAAATATATGGTCTTTTGTAATTGGCTTCTTATAATGTTTTGAAGGTTTATTCATGTTGTTGCTTGTATCAGTACTTCTTAACTTTTATGGCTGAATAGTTTTCTATTGTATGAACATACTGTGTTTTGTTTAGTCATCTGTTGATAAACATTTTGCCTATTTGGCTATTCTGATAATGCTGCTATGAACATTTATGGACAAGATTTTGTGTGGACATATGTTTTCAGTTCTCTTGTATATATAACTAGGGTATATAAATATGATCACCCTATGTTTAACTTTTTTAGTAACCTCAAAACTATTTTCCATAGGTGCTATAGCATTTTAACATTCCTACCATCAATGTATGAGAGTTCCAGTGTTTACATATTTTTGCCATCACTTTTTGAGAATAGTAATCACCTACAGGGTGTGAAGTGGTATCTCATTGTGATTTTGGTTTGCATGTCCCTGATGATTAATAGTGTTGATCATCTTTTCATGTGCTTATTGGTAATTTGTTTATTTTCTTTGGAGAACTCTGTTTCATATCCGTTGCCCATTTTTAAATTGGGTTATTATTGAATTATAAGATTATTTGGTTTTTAAAAGTTAGTTTTACTTTTTACTGCTCTTAGTTTACACATAAAGGATCACTCAGTGATCCTCCGAATAAAGATACTAGGCTAAATTGTGGATTATTGTAGCCTCATAATTCGTAAGGCAGAAAAGGTTTTTTATCTTGTTCCATCTTTTAAAATAATGGTGCTGTTATTTTTTTAAAAGAAAGCTAGCAGTTTCTAAAACTATAAGATACGTTACCTTTATAAAATAACCTTTTCTTACCTTGCAGACATTTGCTTCATCATTGTTTCCAGGCTTTGATGGATCATGGTGTGAAAGTTGCTTCGGTCTTGGCCTACTCATTCAGTAGGCGGTGCTCTTACATAGCAGAATCAGATGCTGCGGTAAAAGAAAAAGCCATTCAAGTTGGCTTTGTTTTAGGTAAGTAATAGTAAAATAGAGGAGTATTTTGTCCTATAATATGACTCATATTGAACTTACTAACAATAAAGGATTCAATGAGGACATTCCAAAAGTCTACATAAGGAGGTTGTGAGAAAAACATCAGAAAAACTAAATGTGATTTATTGAATGTAACTTTAAGCCAAACACTACAGGAGGCATTTATTTAAAAACAAAAAAAGATTTTATTTATTTTTTTGAGAGAGTGAGCAAGAGAACACAAGTGGGAGAGAGAAGCAGGCTCCCTGTAGGGAGCCTGATGTGGGGCTTGATTCCAGGACCCTGGGATTATGACCTGAGCCAAAGGCAGATGCTTAACAGACTCAGCCACACAGGTGCCCCCTAAATGTTATGTTTCTAAATCCTCACAACATTTCAGTATCGTGATTATATTAATAGCACTTTACAAATGCGGAAAGATTCAGAAAATTTAAGTAACTTGCTCTAGTCACATAGCTGGTAGTGTACTAAAAGTTTAGAATCCCCTGTATGTAGATCCATACCATATATTTTGCTACATGTCATGCTGCCAGCAGCCTATTTCACCAGCTTACCATATGCTGTGACATGGGACTTAATCCTTTTGGAGTTTTCAGGCTGTAAAATAAAGATAATTTTTTATTTCCTCATGAGGATGTTAAGAAAATACTGAAAACATACATGGGAAAGGGATCTGTAAAGTTTTTATATGTTACATAGAGAAAAATAGTTAAGGTTTATATAATATTTAATATGCTGCTTACAAATCTACATAGATAAGTATGTTTCAGGCAACTACTTATTAAAGTTGTTGTTGCTCTTCTTGCTTTCTTTTTAAAAATTTTTTTGATGGGGTGCCTGGGTGGGTCAGTTGGTTGGGCATCTGCCCGAGGCTCATGTCATGACCCCAGGACCCTGAGATTGAGCCCCTCATTGGTCTCCCTGCCTACTTCTCCAATTCTGCTACTCCCCCATTCTTCCTCTGCCACTCCCCCTACTTGTGGGCGCATGCTTGCATGCTTTCTCTCTCTCTCTCTCTCAAATAAATACAGTCCTTAAAAAAAAATTTTTTTAGGGGCGCCTGGATGGCTTGGTCGGTTGGGCCACTGCCTTTGGCTCAGGTCATGATCCTAGAGTCCTAGGATCAAGTCCCACGTCGGGTTCCCGGCTCTGTGGGGAGTCTGCTTCTCCCTCTGACCTTCTCCCCTCTCAACGCTCGCTTGCTCGCTCTCTCTCTCAAATAAATAAAAAATTTAAAAAAAAATTTTTTTTAAATGATTGTAGATTCATAGTATCAAAACCAGGAATTGACACTGGTTTAATACTGTTAACTAGACTATAGACCTTATTTAATTTTCAAGTTTTTGCATGTACTTTCATATATGTGTGTCTGTGTGTTTCTTTTTCTTTTTTTTTTTTTAATATTTTATTTATTTGTCAGAGAGAGGATGAAAGAGTGAGCAAGCACAAGCAGCGGGAGAGGGAGAAGGAGGCTCCCTGCTCTGCAGGGAGTCCCGGCAGGGCTCAATCCCAGGACCCTGGGATCATGACCTGAGCTGAAGGTAGATGCTTAACCGAATGAGCCACCCAGGCGTCCCTAGTGTCTGAGGTTATTTCCACATAATGGTATTCTATGAGGTTAATTCCATGTAAAGACTTGTACAACTGTCATTACCATCAGGACACAGAACTAATCCATCAGTACAAACTCTCATGTTTAACTTCTCACTTGCATGTATGTGTTTTAGCTGTCTTACACATACATGCACATATTCTTTGCCAACACATTTTCATGATCATTTCCTTTAGTCTTAGAATAATTCTTTGTATTGGTTATAGACAGTTTGCTGGAGGAACTTCAGAACTTTTTTTTTTTCTTAAAAAAAACATGGGGCGCCTGGGTGGCTCAGTGGGTTGAGCCTCTGCCTTCCGCTCAGGTCATGATTTCAGGGTCCTGGGATTGAGCCCCGCATTGGGCTCTCTGCTCAGCAGGGAGCCTACTTCCCCTTCTCTCTCTGCCTCTCTGCCTGCTTGTGATCTCTCTCTCTGTGTCAAATAAATAAATAATGTCCTTAAAAAAACAAAACAAAACAAAACAAAAACAGCATTTATCCTTTGGTAGTCCCATGGAATATAAATTGCAACTAAGAATTATGACCAGAGAATGTCTATAGTAAGAGTGTGTGATCTCAGTGAATGTTAAGGTTGACATCCCTTTAGTCCTAGAGGGTCATGTAAAAATCTGTGGGAGAACAACTTCAGAATCAACAAAAGTGAAAGGCAGCAAGGTTTGTGTTCATTGAGGTCCTCTGTCATCTCCATAAACATTTATACCAGTATCTGGCCATTATACTGAGCCAGGTTGAAGAAACATCTTGGAGATAGAATGAAATTCTAACAAACTCATAGTTACATTATTGATCTGGATCCTAAAATTACCAAAACAGTGAAAAAAACTTCATACCAAAAGTATGCAGTGATGGAGATGTTTTTTTTAATGATAGCTTTATTGAGATGTTCCTTGAAATTGGGTATGGAGAGATTAAAAAGTTATGTTTGGCCTGCAAGTTGAAAATGTTGGGATCATTAGAATATATGGCTAATTAACCAGAAAATGTCAATTCGTAGGCTGTGGAGTATTTTTAGAGGGTTAAAACTCTTGACTCCTTATTCAAGGTCTCAACTTTGTTCTGATTCCCCTAGTTTATAAGTTTTTATTCTGTTTGGTTTTGTTTTATAGGATCTTTGTTTTGGGCCAGACACAGAACTTGAATACTATGGTTGTTTTCATTTTAGATGATATTCATTTTAAGCATGTCACTTTAGCTTTTAAGTGATTTACTATTAAATTATTTAAAGTTACTAGTTTTCTTGTCCTTTAGGTGGCTTTCTTTCAGATGCAGGCTGGTACAGTGATGCTGAGAAAGTTTTTCTATCCTGTCTTCAGTTGTGTACTCTACATGATGAGATGCTTCATTGGTTTCGTGCAGTAGAATGTTGTGTGAGGTAAGTTGGAACAGATCCTACTCTAATGGTCTTTAGTGGCTTTTATAGTTGTAGCTCTTCAAGCGTGCTCCAACAGTTATCTCTGAGGTGATAATTTGTATGTTTCATTAGTCTGGCCTCCTGTCTCTCATCTCCAGAATATAGTTAGCTTGCTATAATCACCTTAGCTTAATATTTTTTACTTTGTCATAGAGCTTGTGTGTTCTGTTCACTCACCAAGTATTTATTGAATGCCTCAGTGTACTCAGAACTGTGCTATGCACTGGTTGCTGGTAAAATAAATATGTGTTTTTCTTGAGTATTATTTTTTACTCTTTTTTTTCCCTAAAGATTTTATTTTATTTGACAGAGATCACAGTATGCAGAGAGGCAGGCAGAGAGGGCTGGGGGGAGCAGGCTCCCCGCTGAGTAGAGAGCTCAATGTGGTGCTCGATTTCAGGACCCTGGGATCATGACCTGAGCTGAAGGCAGAGGCTTTAACCCACCGAGCCACCCAGGCGCCCCTTATTTTTTACTCTTGATGCATTTCTAGAATTATGTATAAGATTAGTATTTTACTTATAAATAACCGTTTTCTTTAAAAATACATTTTTTAACAGATGTACTGAAAGGAAAGGCAAGGTAGTTTCGAGGTAATGCTTTCTTCTTACTATCTTTATTTTTTCTATGTACGTAACAGAAAATTAGGAAGAGAATAAATATTATCTACAATCCTGTTGTCCAGAAATAACCACAATTATTGTATTAGTGTATTTTTAAATTTTAAGTATGGAAAGGAACTTTCTGAACTGGTGGGAGAAAGACTTGAATCTAGATTTAAAAAGAACCCTGAGCCCCACACAATTGGGAGTTCCTGAAATCAAAGAATACATAGAAATTGGAAGCTATAAGATAGAAATATCTCCATTATTGAGAGAAAATGCTATACCTCACCAACTTTTAGGGTAAAATAAATTTTTCAAATATATAGGGTACAGTATACTTAATGTACTTGAGCTGAGGAAAATACTTATGGAATTTCTCTAAACAAATAAAAGCTCAGTAGAGTAGGAATGGCTGTCATGTTCAAACCTTATCAGTGCTAGGGTTGGATATTATAATTTATATAATGGAAAAGTGTGATAGACATTTTTTTTTTAAGATTTTATTTATTTATTTGACAGACAGAGATCACAAGTAGGCAGAGAGAGAGAGAGGAAGGGAAGCAGGCTCCCTGCCGAGCAGAGAGCCCAATGCGGGGCTCGATCCCAGGACCCCGATACCATAACCTGAGCCGAAGGCAGAGGCCCAACCCACTGAGCCACCCAGGCGCCCCTGTGATAGACATTTTAAATTAGGGTAGTGGTAGTGGGGGTAAGAATGATAGGAAAACTGTCCAAATGAGATAAAAACAGAAGAGAGGAAATAATTAAGTATGATAAATGAAAAAAAGCTTACTAATGAAAGATGAACAATAATATGATAAGCTTAAAACCAAATTTGATTATCATCACAGTATATGTAAATGGGCTCAATTCCTCTGTGTAAATGTGGTATCTACAAAGAGGTTTAAAAAGTGAAATCCAGCTATATATTGTTAAAATAGTATAAACAGGGGTTAGCAGGGAGCCTGCTTCCTCCTCTCTCTCTGCCTGCCTCTCTGCCTACTTGTGATCTCTCTCAGTCAAATAAATAAATAAGATTTTTTTAAAAAAAAGTATTAACAGTATTAACAATAAAGCAAAATTCAGGATAAAAACCATTAGTTGATACAAAAAGGATATTGCTAATAAAATAAATCCACTAAAAAGGTTAAAAATGCCATGTGTAGCAAATAAGATAGCAGCTACCTATATAAGCAGCATACCCTAAAAATACCCAGAATTTGAATACTATTTATTTATTTATTTGACAAACAGAGATCACAAGCAGGCAGAGAGCGAAGCAGAGAGGGAGGGAGGGAAGCAGGCTCTCCGCTGAGCAGAGAGCCTGATGCGGGGCTCGATCCCAGGACCCTGAGATCATGACCTGAGCCAAAGGCAGAGGCTTTAACCCACTGAGCCACCCAGGTACCCCCAAAATACCCAGAATTTGATAAAAAGATAATTAATACAATATTGAGTGCCCCGGGATAGGTTAATTCATAATTCTATAGGTTATCAAGGAACTAAATTTTATCCTTATGTCTGCTTCTCTGTCCTCAGTGCTGGTTTTGACGTTGACCAGCTCCCAAGTATTTGTTAAGAATGCTGCCACAGTTTGAAATATGACATACTCATTTCATATTGCCTGGCAGAAGAAAGATTTCCTTTCCAAGCTCTGCATTTTATCTTTAATGATAGGGAAACTTTCTCAGGAACCACCCAGCCACCTATCTTGGAATCTCATTGGCCAGAGCTAGGTCATTTGGTGACCTCTGAATCAATCACTGACAAGCAGAGTAGGACCACTACATTGTGATTGGCTTAAACTACTGATGATTTATTCTTGAGTCCTATGAGAAAGATATCAATGCCTAAACAAAATCAGGCTCCTGCCAACAAAGCATGAGGTGGAAAAATGGCTTTTAGTTACAGAGCTAGCAGTGTCTGCAACATCTCACAGTGCTTTGCTCCCACACGTAAAATTAAAACCACACTAGCCTGACCCCCCCCAAAAAAGATGCAAATGGCTAAAATCAGAAATACAAATCAAGGTTTCACTACCAGCCTTCCAGAAATGGAAACATAAGAGAATCCTATGAACAGTTGTATGCCAACAGAATAGATATTGTAGCTGAAATGAACAAATCCCTAGAAATGAACAAAATTACCTAAATTGGCCCAAGAAAATCTCAACAAAGCCATAGCAAGTAGAGATTGAATCAGTAATCAAAAACCTTCCGGGGGCGCCTGGGTGGCTCAGTGGGTTAAAGCCTCTGCCTTCGGCTCAGGTCATGATCCCAGGGTCCTGGGATCGAGCCCCGCATCAGGCTCTCTGCTCAGCGGGGAGCCTGCTTCCTCCTCTCTCTCTTTGCCTGCCTCTCTGCCTACTTGTGATCTCTGTCTGTCAAATAAATAAATAAATAAAATCTTAAAAAAAAAACCTTCAAACGTGGGTCACCTGGGTGGCTCAGTTGATTAAGCATCCAACTCTTGATTTTAGCTCAAGGTCTCGATTTCCAGTTCGAGCCCCACATTGAGCTCCACAGTGTGCATGGAACCTAAATAAAACCAAAAAACCTTCCAAAAAGAAAACTCCAGGACCAGAATTTCTCATGAAATGAGTGCTACCAAACATTTAAAGAAATGACACCAGACCTTCTCAGCGTTTCAAAAAAAATTAAGGAGGAAGGAACACTTCCTAACTCATGCTTTGAGGCCAGCATTACCCTGATACCAAAGTCAGAAAAAAGACATCACAAGAGAAGAAAATTACAGGATAATATCCTCTGTGAATACAGATGTAAAAATTCTCAACAGATTGCCGGGGCGAGGGGGTAGGGAGAGGGCGATGGGGTTATGGACATTGGGGAAGGTATGTGCTATGGTGAGTGCAGTGAAGTGTATAAACCTGGCGATTCACAGACCTGTACCCCTGGGGCTAATAATACATTATATGTTAATAAAAAAAATTTTTTTTAATTAAAAAAAAAAATCCTCAACAGAGTAATAACACATCAAACTAATGGCATGTAAAAGGATTGTATACTATAGTAATTGGGATTTATTCCAGGAATGCAACAATGATTGACATAAGAAAGTCAATGGGGGGTGCTGGGTGGCTCAGTTGGTTAAGCAACTGCCTTTGGCTCAGGTCATGATCCCAGGGTCCTGGGATGGAGTCCAGCATCAGACTCCCTGCTCCACAGGAAGCCTGTTCTGCCTTTCCCACTTCCCCTGCTTGTGTTTCCTCTCTCAATGTGTCTCTCACTGTATCTCTCTGTCAGATCATTAATTAAAATCGTTAAAAAAAAAAAAAAAAGGAAAGGAGGGAGGGATGCCTGGGTGGCTCAGTCGGTTAAGCATCTGCCTTTGGCTCAGGTCTTTGTATCCCTCTTGGGCTGTTTGCTCAGTGGGGAGCCTGCTTCTGCCTCGGCCTGCCTCTATCCCTGCTTATGCGCACACGCTCACTAGCTCTCTTGCAAAAATAAAATCTTTAAGAAGTAATAAAATTTTTTTTTTTAAGATTTTATTTATTTATTTGACAGACAGATCATAAGCAGGCAGAGAGGCAGGCAGAGAGAGGAGGAAGCAGGCTCCCTGCCAAGCAGAGAGCCCGATGCGGGGCTCAATCCCAGGAACCTGGGATCATGACCTGAGCCGAAGGCAGAGGCTTTAACCCACTGAGCCACCCAGGCGCCCCAAAAAGTAATAAAAATTTTAAAAAGAAGGAAAGAAACGATCTTCTCAATAGACACAAAAGACATTTGACAAAATCTGACACCTTTTCATAATCAAACATTCAAAAAACCAGGAGCAGAAGAGTTCCTCAACATGATAGTATTTTTGAAGAACCCACAGCTGACATCATACTCACTGGTGAAACACTGAAAAGCTTTGTCCCTAAGATCAAGAACAAGATCAAGGATGCTTGCTTTCACTACTATTATTAAACATTGCCCTGAAAGTTCTAACTAAAGGAATTAAACAAGAAAAAGAAAAAATGGCATCCATATTGGAAAGAAAGAAGTGAAACCATTTCTGTTCACAGATTAGTTGGATTTCATCAAAATAAAAAACTATGTACATCAAAGGATGTTATCAAGAAAGTGGAATTGGAGAAAATATTTGCAGATCATATATCAGATAAGGGTGTAGTATCCAGAATATATCAAGAGCTACCGCTCAACAACAACAACCTGATTAAAAAATGGGTAAAGGCTTCAAGGACACATTTGTCCAAAAAAGAAGATAAAATAGCCAAAAGATGCTCAGCATAATTTTTCATTAGGGAAATGAAAATCAAACATGAGATACCACTTTACACATACCCAGGATGGCTGTAATTAAAAATAAAAGTTAAGTGTTACCAAGAATGTGAAGAAATTGGAATCCTTAATGGGAGTGTAAATGGTGCAGGTGGGGTAAAGGGTATATGGGAATCGATTGCTTGTTATAGAGTTTCTTTTTGGAGTGATGAAAAGTCTTGGAAATAGATGGTGGTGATGGTCACACAATATGGTGACGGTAATGGCACTGAAGTATATGCTTAAAATAGTTAGTATGGCAGATTTTTTGTTGCATATTTTACCACAATAGAAAAGAATTTTAGTCTATCATTTATTTCCAAAATTGTTAAATAGTTCTTGGAGACATACTCTTGTAAGGAGGAGAGAGATGATTTTTTTTCACATTTACTTTTAATGTATTTATTTTTGTTGTGTCTTATGAGGTTCAGCCTAGTCATCTTGCTTAGTCTCACAGTGAATATATTCATAAATTAATGACTTCTAAACTTATAGGGGTGTTGGGCTGCCTCAGTCAGTAGAGCATGCAACTCTTGATCTCAGGATTTTAAGTTTGAGCCCCACATTGGGTGTAGAGATTACTTAAAATTTTAAAAAACAAAAACTTGTATATTTGCCATTCAAACAGTGAATTATTTAACCAATTAAATGTAATTGTTTTTGACAATAGCTCTTGATCAGGTAGATGTAATTGTATTTTTTCATAAAACTAATACTGCAGGAAGGAGGGTATATGAGAAATCTCTGTACCTTCTGCTCAGTTTTACTGTGAACCTAAAATTGCCCTTTTTAAAAAAATTTGTTTTATTTATTTATCTATTTATTTATTTATTTATTTGAGAGAGAAAGCTCAAGCAGGGTTATGGCAGTAGAGGGACAAGCAGACTGTCTGTTGAATGGTGAGTCCCACGAAGGGCTTGATCCCAAGACCCTGACTGAGATCATGACCTGAGCCAAAGTTAAGACACTTAACTGACTGAGCCTCCCAGGCATCCCTAAAACTGCTCTTAAAAATTAAATCGTTTTTAAAAATAATAAAATACTATGCTTACTTTGGAGAACCACATTTGGAGAACCTTGAGAACCTGCCTTTTTGTTAGGCTGAGTATTAGGCAAAATTAGATCTTTAGTTGACCAAAAGTTTCTTGGATCCTTTATCCTGCTTTGTGTCAGCCCAGATGGATGTACAGACCCCGAAGAGACTCCATATGTTTAATTTGCCCTTTTGTTTCAAGAGACAACCAGCAGGGACTGGAGAAGAAATCAAGCTGTGCTTTTCTGTCTTAACATATTTAATTTGCTACCCCATCATATGCCAATTATTAAATAATTTCTAGAAATTATTTTTAGGAGGAATATCTACAGTGAATGTTGTTGGAAATGCAATAGTAGAAATAAGAGGTTAATACTGTTCTTTACATTCTGTGAATTTACAACCTATGCTTGAGTTTAACCTTTTCCTATTGAACTGTTTGGATAACTGTCAAGTCTATCTCCAGTACCTATCCTTTTTTCTCAAGGTCTTTTTATCTTCTGGATTGTTGTAATACCTCTGTCCTGATTGCCTTACTTCCACTCTTGGCTTTATTGTAATCCATTTTCTTTTTCTTTTTTTTTTTTTCTCCCTTTTTTAAAAAAAAGATATTTATTTAAGAGAGGGGGAGCATGAGCCTGAGCAGTAAGTAGTAAGAGCAGGGGGAGGGGTAGAGGGAGAAGCAGTCTCCCTGCAGATCAGGGAACCTGATTCAGTAATTCATCCCAGGACCCTGGGCTCATGACCTGAGCTGAAGGCAGCCGCTTAACCAGCTGAGCCACCCAGGTGCCCCTGTAATCCATTTTCCACAGCATAGCCAGAGTAATCCTTCGAGAGTTGCACTGTCCAGTATGATAACCATCAACCTGGTGTATGACTATTTAAATTAATTCAAGTTAAAAATTAAAAATCAGTCCCTAGTCACAGTAGGCACATTTGAGATACTCAGTAGCCACTTGTGGCTAATGGCTACTAGATTGAGCAGAGCAGATCCACAGCATTTCAGGAAATTCTGTTAGCATTGTACTAGAGGATAAATCAAATCATATCTCACCATTACAACCAAAATTTCTTACCCTGACTGGCAAGGCCCTATAAAATCTTTTTAATCTCTGCTTTTTCACCTCTTTGTTATTATCCTTTATTCATAATATCTTACACAGGTTGGACTTGTCTGTTCTTTGATTATGCCAGAATTTTTTTCCCCTTTCTCAGGGCTTTGCACTGGTTATTCCTTATGTTTGAAGGAATTTTTTTAAAAGATTTATTTATTTATTTTAGAGAGTGGGGGGCAGGGCAGATGGAGGATAGAGAAAACCCCAAACAGCTACCCCTCTGAGCTTGGAGGCAGACATGGGGCTTGATCTCTGTACCTTGAGGTCATGACCTGAGCTGAAATCAAGGGTCTGATGCTCAACTGACTGAGCCACCTAGGCACCCCAGTTATTCCTTCTGTTTGAAACATGCTTCCTTCCAGACCTTTACATGACTGCTTCATCATTTAGGTGTCAACGAAAATTCTTCCCTGTCTACCCTGAGAAGTACCTTTAAGAAGTTCCTGCAGGAGCTCACACACTCTCTCTCAAATCTTTTTTTTTTTTTTTTTTTTAAGAAGTTCCTGATCATTGGGGCACCTGGGTGGCTTAGTTCATTGGGTACCCTCCTCCCGCTCAGGACTGAGCATTTTCAGAAAATTGTATTGGCAGTGATACATGCACATAATGTTGTTAGCCAGCTTTATAATATATATACAAATACATGTCTAGTCTTCACTGTTCTGTTTTCCATAGTCTGTACAGATATATAGTCTTTTGGTATCACAGTCTGACCTACTCTTCTTACATATCATTAGATAGTCTAACATGGTTTTACAGTTACTCTGTGTGAAGAACTTTGTATTTTTCCACCATAGAAGATAAAGGTTTTAAAAGAAATAGGTGACAATACCACTATTTTCAATGAACTTACCTTATTGGAAAGATAACAAAAAAGAGCACTTAAGAAGCAACATGAGATAAGGTTACTGATCAGGTGTTCCACAAATATACTAGAAAAGAGAACAGAAGGGGCACCTGGGTGGCTCAGTGGGTTAAGCCGCTGCCTTCGGCTCAGGTCATGATCTCAGGGTCCTGGGATCGAGTCCCGCATCGGGTTCTCTGCTCAGCAGGGAGCCTGCTTCCCTTCCTCTCTCTCTGCCTGCCTCTCTGCTTACTTGTAATCTCTCTCTGTCAAATAAATAAATAAAATCTTAAAAAAAAAAAAAGATGTTTTGAAAAGAGAACAGAAAGTAATGGTACGTAATAGTATTTCATGTTGATTTTATTTTTTTCATTGTTTTCTTAAATTTTTATAATGAAATGTATTACTTTTGGCTTTGGAACAGAAAGAGTTAAGTATTAGATATAGCACATACTGAGTGCACAAAGTACACGAAATATTAAAAGAAGAAAAAGAAGCAGAGTTGGGTGAGAATTAATCATGGGTAGTTTTCTGGAAAGAGCGTATACTCTTATGTGTTTTAGTCAATCTTGGTTTGGCCCAGACTGTTACTTTCCAGTGCTGCCTCACTTTTTGCATCTAGTTTCCTTAACTCATTTGGGTACTAAGTGGTGACCTGTAAGAGGACCACGCTGGAAATATCAAAAATAGAGGAATGTTATTTCTGCCTTTGCAGGTTGCTTCATGTGCGAAATGGAAACTGCAAATATCACTTGGGTGAAGAAACATTTAAGTTAGCTCAGACATATATGGATAAACTCTCAAAACATGGCCAGCAAGCAAACAAAGCTGCACTGTATGGAGAACTGTGTGCACTACTCTTTGCAAAGAGTCACTATGATGAGGTGAGTGTTTTGAAGTGCATTTCTTTGTGACCAGCAAGTAGCTATAAACAGATGGTAAAATCAAAACAAACAGATAAGCCAAAAAAAAAAAAAAAAAAAGAAAGAAAACAAAAACAGAGGAACCTGAGCAGGGGGTGATGGACACAATAGGTAAAGGGTATTTAAGAGGTAATGTCCAGTTACAAAATAAATAAGTCATAGGGATGAAAAGTACATCATAGGAAATATAGTCAATAATACTGTAATAATGTTATATGGTGACAGATGGTAACTACACTTACTGTGGTGAGCATAGCATAATGTATAAAATTGTCCAGTCATTGTGTTGTACACCTGAAACTACTATAACATTGTGTGTCAACTGTACCTCAATTTTAGAAAAAGGAAAAATCATATAATCTTGTATTAGTCTTAATAGATTTTATTCTCACATATCAGGTTTACTTAAAGCACTACACATTTGTAATGGAATATTTGAAATGAGGCAGAAAGAGTATACTATGAGATGTATTTTAAACATACACATGTTTGGTTTATGGCCTATTTTTGTTTTTAATTTGACCAAATAAATCTCTATCTAAATTATTTTGATGGGCATGCTCTGTCAAATCAACCCTTAATAGATCCTTTTTTTTTGGATGTGTAGCTCTGGGTGAACTCTGAGAAGTTGAAGGCATTCATTCTAATGGGAAGCTAGATTTTATTTATACTTTTTCGCATTGTTTTGCTCCTTCCTCTGCCTTACAATAAAGATAGTTTCACTCCTGTCTTTATGCTATTAATTTCATGCTTCAGTGCTAATGAATACATAGTTGAGAAGTAACCTATGTCTTTTTAACTCCTTTACTTGGTTGTTTTCTGTATGGAAGAGTAATTATTTATGTTGCCACATAGCAGTCATTTAGCTTTCATATTTTACAATTATGCCTGTCTTGATTTTTGCTCCGTTAATATTCCATATTTAAAGGAAAATTATAATCAGAGGTAAAGCTAGAAAATTCTAGAATGATTATAAAGTGAGGTTGTGCAGCCCTGATGCTAGGATTATCCTTAATATCCATATAAGAAGGCATCAAACCTGCGTGTAGAAATCTAAAACCCTTATCAACAAGCCTACAATTTCTTAGAGGGGTGTTATGTATGTTCTTCTGGTTATTTTTAATGATGAATTAGTTCTGTTTTGCTGCTCCCTCTGTGCAGTAATTGTTCTATAGCTTATCCAAATATAAAACTCAGCCTCTTTCTTTTATTTTTCGCACACCAAGAGCAAAAAACCCCATTCACAGAAGGCCTTTGTGTGGATAGCTGACTTTACTGGAAATGAGAGTACGATATACAACAGTTTGAGTATTAGAAATGTCTACTTTAAAAGTTATTCAGGTGCCTCACCATCTTTTTTTAAAATAATTTTTAAAATTATTTTTATTAACATATAATGTATTTGCCCTAGGGGTATAGGTCTGTGAATCATCAGGCTTACACATTTCACAGCACTCACCGTAGCACATACCCTCCCCAATGTCCATAACCCAGCCACCCTATCCCTACCCCCCCACTGCCACCAACCATCAGTTTGTTTTGTGAGATTAAGATTCTCTTAATGGTTTGTCTCCTTCCCGTTCCTATCTTGTTTCCCACCATTTTTATATATCTATGCATAGGAACTCACTTTTTTTTTTTTTTTTTTTTTTTTTAAAAAAAAAGCTCTGTGGCCAGTGTGGGGCTTGAACTCATGACCCCAAGATCAGTAGTCACATTCTCTACTGACTGAGCCAGCCACGCACCCCAAATAGTTTATTTTAAATATAGGTAAGTTTTGGGCCACCTGGGTCGCTCAGTCAGTTAAGTGTGTGCCTTCGGACTCAGGTCATGATCTCAGGGTCCTAGGACTGAGCCCCGCATCAGGCTTACTGCTCAGTGGGGAGCCTGCTTCTCCCTCTGCCTGACGCTCCCCCTGCTTGTGCTCGCTCTCTGTCTCTGACAAATAAATAAAATCTTTAAAAATATGTATAGACCAGTTTGTCATTGATAGCTACAGAAAAGTACACAATATTGAGGATACAGTTTGATGAATTATCACTGTATTTTGATACTAACATGGCTAGGCTATGCTGACAAACTAGCAGTGACGTGGAGAGATAAATTTATTTCTTGTTCATGCTGCATCCTGTCTTGGGATGCCTATGGTTCTGCTTAACGTTCTGTTCACATTTGATCATCAAAACCCCATGTGATGGAGCATCCTCTGTCTAAAACATTAACAGCCTTAGAGCAGAGGCAAAAGCATCTTGAGGAAGTACTACTTGCTCTTGAAGCTTTTTCCCAATAGAAATTGCTCATTTCACTTTCATATTTTAATTAAGTTTTTAATTGGCCAAAAGAAATCATGTGGCCACTATCATCTTTAATGTGGAAGGGAAGTATATCCTTCCCCAAGGAAGTAAATATTTTTTTTTTTTTTTTAAAGATTTTACCCATTCATTTGACAGACAGATCACAAGTAGGCAGAGAGGCAGGCAGAGACAGAGAGAGGAGGAAGCAGGCTCCCCGCTGAGCAGAGAGCCCAATATGGGGCTCGATCCCAGGACCCTGAGACCATGACCCGAGCTAAAGGCAGAGGCTTTAACCCACTGAGCCACCCAGGGGCCCCGGAAGTAAATATTTTAAAGAAGTATTACAGTCTACAGTTTTGAAGATTTTAACTTACTACTCTGAAACAAAATCTGCTTATTTAACATTTTTTTAAGATTTTTTTTATTTGAGAAAGCGAGAATGAGAGGGAGAGAGCACAAGAGGGGGGAGGGTCAGAGGGAGAAGCAGGCTCCCCACTGAGCAGGGAGCCTGATGCTGGATGATGCAGGACTCCAGGATCATGACCTGAGCCAAAGGCAGTTGCTTAACCAACTGAGCCACCCATATGCCCCAGTGCTTATTTAACATCTTAAAAACAACCAGGTTTTTGGGCCTAAATCACATACATTTCATTTTTACATCAAAATTACTTTGGAATCTTTTAGGTGGAATGAAGAGAAGGAAGCTTGCAGGGGGTAACAAATTTTTTTTTTTTTTAATATTTTCCAATTTTTCCTCTCCCTCCCCCATTCCTTATAATTCTTTTTTTTTTTTTTTTTTTTTTTTTAAGATTTTATTTATTTGACACAGAGAGAGAGAGAGAGGAAACACAAGCACCGGGAGTGAGAGAAGGAGGAGCAGGCTTCCCACAGAGCAGGGAGCCCGCTGTGGGGCTCAATCAATCCCAGGACCCTGGGTTCATGACCTGAGCTGAACGCAGACACTTAACGACTAAGCCACTGAGGCACCCCCTTTTATGTTATTTTATTAAGATTTATTTATTTGACAGAGAGAGCGAGAGAGCACAAGTAGGGAGAACGGAAGAGGGAGAAGGAGAAGCAGGCTGAGCAGGGAGCCTGATGCGGAACTCAGTCCCAGGACCCTGGGATCGTGACCTGAGCTGAAGGCAGACACTTAACCAACTGAGCCTCCCAGGGATCCCTACAATGTTTTGTTTCTTTGAAACAGTTCTTACTATCCTAAGTAATTTGTTTTGCCCTTTTTTTTTTACCCCACTAACCACTAGGAGAGGAAGGACATACTTTATCGCTGCCCAGTAGATACCTAGGTGCTAGCACATTGCCTGGTACTTAACCTCTCTGCACCTCAGTTTTCCATAATAGTATGCATCTGGTAGGACTGGTGTGTCAGTTAAATGTATTAATGCACATAAAGTACTTAGAACAATAACTCTCATAAACTAAGCACTCAACTAAACAGGCAGTTAAGATACAAAATAATATGACAGTAGGGGAAGAAAGTACAGTAAGCTTAATCTAGGGCTGAAACCTGGAAAATAAGTTATGTGGGTTTAGTTCAGGAAAGACAAGTGTATGTAAGGCAGAGGGACCAGTGCAAAGGCTTATGGGCATGAGAGAGCATGCCCCTGACTTCCTGTGTGTCACTTATTCACGGAAAAGTGTAACAAACTTGAAACTTTCAAGAAAACTTACTCTCAGAAAATTGTAAGTGGAAATACTTTGTATGTATTCTTATTCAAGTACTTGAAAGTTGGGTAGAAAGATACACAGTCATTTCATTATTGTCAATTTGATTGATCAGTTTTTGCTCTTGTGTAAATATTTTTTAGGCTTACAAATGGTGCATTGAGGCAATGAAAGAAATCACAGTGGGCTTACCAGTCAAAGTTGTGGTGGATGTTTTAAGACAAGCTTCTAAGGTGAATATAATGTTAAAATTTATTAATGAATTAAAGGATTTAGCCAGCTTTAAATTTGTTTTAATTAACCTGTTATTTAACAAGTTAGATATTGCATACTCCATGGACTAACAAGGTCTATTTTCTGAGTTTCTGTGCTTAGTTTTAGAAACCAGATGTAGAAATCTGCATATAGAATTGAGCTAATTTTCCTATACCTAGAAAACCCATGAAAAAAATCATTTTGATAATTCAGCTCACTGAACTATAGATTGAGGCAGTATTTTGGTGCTACTCTAGCTTGAGTTTGCTTTTGTTTTTCTTAACCTTTTCCAGCGACCTGAATTCCTCATGCCACAATTGTATGGACTTAGTCATTTTTCTCCTAAAGGGTGGCCTAGTATTAAGTCTGGGAGTGATAGTGTGCAGCCTTATAGTGTCACAGCTCCCTATACTTGAGCTGCTGAGTGGTACTTACTTGATCTTTCTCCTTAGTTTCTTCTTATTCTATAGATAAATGCATTCACTCTTTGAAGCCATTTATTTTTAAATTGCTGGTTTGGTGTACTAAGGTTTTAAAGCATTGATGTGCTTTTCAGATGTATTCTTTCTACCTAGAGTTTTTCTTATTTTGAATATTTCATTTTGGTTGGTTTTAATTATGGAAATTTCACTTAGAAGAAAGATTCTAAAATTAAAGATTTAGAAGAGTCTAAGATTTCTGTGAAACTTACTAGGTAAATTTATTAGAGAAGTATATAGCATAAGTATTCAGATTATTATCAGAGCCAGAAGAGAGATATTAATACATTTTAATTAATTTAAAACATTAGAAATGCAGTTAATGTAAAGACGACAGTTTAATTATGTGCAAGATTTATATTTCTATATGCAGATAATATTTAGGATTTGAAAACTGGCCATTTTCATGAATCGGAATATTTTAAGACTAGAAAAACTTGAAATTCTGTGCATTTTAAAACTGAAAGATGAAAATTACAAGATATTTAAGCCACTCTAGAACTAATAGCTTAGAAAATTCTGTGTTGAGCCCTTTCCCCACTTATTTACTGTATAATCTGGAAGGATGGGAGTACACCATCTTTGTAAGGTAACTTTGTTATAACAGGTTTGTATTGGGCATGAATGTCAAAATTTTAAACTGTATAATTTCCCCAGGATATGTACAGGTCTGTTTATAATAGAATTTTCGAGTACTTGGAAGGGAAGAAATTACAAATAGAGTCCTTCTATTTATGTTAGAGGATAGAGGATGCTTGCTTTTTTTTTTTTTTTTTTTTGGACCATCATAGTCTGACTGTCTAATCTACTTACTTTAGCACACTAATTAACTGTTTGAGAGTTATTTAATCATTTTTCACTTTATCCTTAGGCTTGTGTTGTAAAACGTGAATTTAAGAAAGCAGAACAGTTAATTAAACATGCAGTGTATTTGGCACGGTAGGTGATTGTTACTAAAAATACCATTTTAGATTGTCTCTCTCTACTTTATATCCTAATAGTTTTATATCTTTTTATAGGGATCATTTTGGATCCAAACACCCAAAATATTCTGATACACTGCTAGATTATGGGTTCTACTTACTCAATGTAGATAATATCTGTCAGTCTGTTGCAATTTATCAGGTATGTTAACAGTTAATGCTTTTTTTCTTTCAACCTGAATTGACTTGCTGACGTGTTTTTGTTTGCGGTGTATAACCCACTCTCTAAAAATAACTCTTTCTGAGTCCCTCCTCATATATGGGACATCATTCTTTTACTAAATAATATGTAGAAGCATTAGAAGTAAATGTTTTAGGAATTACAGAGAACCATCGAGGAAAACAATTTTTGGCTTGTGGGCTCATATACAAGAGTACTTTTCCATTTTTCATTTGCCCAAATGAAGATTTGTCTTCATTGTTGATTTAGCATGAGTCCTTATAGCTGTCTTCGTAATAGCAAGGAGGGTTGATAACAATTACTTTAGGCCTTGTATTAGTCATTCTTAGGTAAATGTGTTGCACCATCACTCCAGACAAAGTATCCTTGATTTTATGTTTCACTTATGAAGAAGAACATAGAGAGAAAAACACTGCTGTAATTCTCAGACATATGAATAATTTTTATTGTGAAATCATTGTCTTTTAAGTTAGATTCAGTCTTCAGAAAATCAGGCCTTTTCATGACTTTAATATTCTCTTACGATTTAAATACAGCAGGATTTTTGCTTCCAAACTGATGGTATTGATATGTAGAACATACATTTAAATTACTAGGATGCTTAATATTACTGGGTAGTGTTTTCTAAGGATTTATAGTAATAATTATTTTCATTATACTTTCAGGCAGCCCTTGACATTCGGCAGTCAGTGTTTGGTGGCAAAAATATCCATGTAGCAACAGCCCATGAAGACTTGGCTTATTCTTCTTATGTTCATCAGTATAGCTCTGGGAAATTTGACAACGCACTGTAAGTTCCGTGTTCTTTTTCAGTGAGCGATTAAATGCTATTGCTGTTGTTTTTTTCCTAATGCAATAATATTTAATATATTTATGGGTTAAATATGTCTTCTGGAGCTTTAACAAGATGCCTGAAATGTTCTTGAACTCATTTAAAATCATACCAATTTATAAGCATAGTTTAATGGTTATACATGGTTTGATAGTGAGAGTTATATATCTTCATAAGGAATAGGGCTTATCTTCTGAATACTTCAGTAATTTTTCTTTGAGTAATACAGTAGCCTCTGGCTAAATGACAGACATAACCTAAAAACATTTTGCTCAAAGTATGCAGAAATACTGAATAAAATATAACCGTTGTCTTTGTAAGTGTGTAACTGAGCTTGCAGGAGATAAAATCCCCAAGGGCTACTCATGGACAAAAATCCAGTAGGGTAGCATGAACTATGGTATAACCACCTTGGGATGATGGGAAAGCTTAGAAGTTTCTATAAACCTTGGCTGGACAATAATCCTGAGTTTATGAGTTAAGGCATTTAGTCCGCAGGAAACTGAGTTACAACTGAAACCCTCAACCTGAAGCCAAGATCAAGCCTGCACCATCAGGGAAAGGGGAGACTAGGAGGGAAAAAAATGTTCCCACTGACAAGAAAGGACAAAGAAACTAATTCGTTTCAGGTTGGGCTCTCAGTTAAACAAAAACGGAATCTCACAGTGGAATTTATAACTGCATCATATATTCAGGAACCCCCAAACTGAGGAAAACATTAAAAAGCAGTTCGGGACTGCTAGTTCTCCTGAGATGCCTTTTAGGAGAAAGTGTAAAACTCTTGGAACTTCTCAGTCCAAACCAGAGTTTCCATAGATCTAGTTCCACCTAAGATGAACTCACCATTAAAAAATTTTGAAATGAAATACAGAAATATTTCCTCTATGAGTGAGAATCAGCAGATATAACAGGATTAGAACCCAGAGAATACTGACTAACAGAACTTCTTGGTTGATACTATAAAGTATCCTTAAATGATTAAATATATAAAATGAGTTAGCAAACTATGGTCTGCAGGGAAAATAAAATTTTATTGGAACATGGCAATACTCATTCGCTCATGTATTGTCTGTGGCTGCTTTCCTGCTATATTAGGAGAGTTGAGTAGTGGAGACAGAGTGTGTGGCACACACAACCTAAAGTATTTGCTGTCTTGCCCTTTACAGAAAGAAATTGCTGACCCTGATATAAGAGAAGGAATCAGTAATATTTTGGAGGGGAAAATAAAGGGGGGAAAGGGCAGATTTAAAAATAAAACAACTGATACCTGCTACAACCTGGATGAATCTTGAAAATATTCTGCTAATTGAAAGAAGCTAGTCAAAAAGGACCACATATTGTATGATTCCATTTATATGAGATGTCCAGAATAGGCAAATCTATGAGACAGAAAATAAGTTTGTGGTTGCCATGGGCTGATAGGGTTGGAGGAAAATGGAGAGAGACTACTAATGGGCCAGTCTTTCTTTTTAGGGTCATGAAAATACTCTGAAATTGCTCGTGGTCATGGGTGCACAGCTCTGAATATACTAAAAACCATTGAATTGTACATTTTTTATTTTTTAAGATAAATTCTTCTGTGTGAAGAAGAATAAAGTAAATTAAAGAGCTATGGTAAATTTTTTTAGTTTTTTTTTTTTTTTAAGATTTTATTTATTTGAGAGGGAGAGCATAAGTAGGGGGAGTGTAAGAGGGAGAAGCAGACTCCCCACTGAGCAGGAAGCCTGATGCAGGACTCAATCCGGGGACTCCAGGATCATGATCTGAGCCAAAGGCAGTCGCTTAACCAACTGAGCCACCCAGGCACCCCTTTTAGGTACTTTTGTACAAGCTGGTCTGAGAAGGGTATTCATTGAAGAGCGAGCCATGTGGGTAGATAGTCAGGGGGATAGTATTCTATAGGGGACAGTAAACCAGGTGCAAGAGTCTTAGGTGAGAGTATGCTTTGCATGTTCAGAAAGCTGCAAAAGCCTGTATGGCTGGAGGAGAAGGAGAGGGCTGTTTCTGAGAATGGTAGATGAGGTCGGACAGGTAGCCCAGGGAAAGAATATGGTGAGCCTTGTAGGCTGTGATAACAACTTCACAGTTCATTCTGTGGGAGATGGAAATCTAGTGGATATTTTTTTTTTAAGATTTTATTTATTTATTTGACAGAAATCACAAGTAGGCGGAGAGGCAGGCAGAGAGAGACAGGGGAAGCAGGCTCCCTGCTGAGCAGAGAGCCCGATGTGGGGCTCGATCTTAGGAACCCGGGATCATGACCTGAGCCGAAGGCAGAGGCTTTAACCCACTGAGCCACCCAGGTGCCCCAATCCAGTGGATATTTTAAAAGTTCAGTCCACAACAGATTAGAAATTTAAGAAACAGGGCGCCTGGGTGGCTCAGTGGGTTAAGCCGCTGCCTTCGGCTGGGGTCATGATCTCAAGGCCCTGGGATCGAGTCCCGCGTCAGGCTCTCTGCTCAGCAGGGAGCCTGCTCCCTCCTCTCTCCGCCTGCCTCTCTACTTGTGATCTCTCTGTCAAATAAATAAATAAAATCTTAAAAAAAAAAAAAAAGAAATTTAAGAAACAAAAACCAGTACCTTTACCACAGATAGTTTTAGAAATTCCATCAGTATTATAAGTTGTGATTTTTTTTTAGAAAATGCTATAATTATTTGTACCTAAAAAGAAATACCAGAATATATATTTGTCTGTATTACAGATTTCATGCTGAAAGAGCTATTGGTATCATTACCCACATCCTACCTGAAGATCATCTTCTTTTGGCTTCTTCAAAGAGGGTGAAAGGTACCCTTTGCAATTAGTCTCCAGTATACGTGTGTGTGTGTGTGTGTGTGTGTGTGTGTGTGTGTGTGTGTGTATTTTTTTTTTTTTTTTAGATTTCTTTTGCTGTCAGTTGTAATAGATGTCTGGTGTCATATATTTTGAAGATACATAGTTTAAAATCAGGCTATTTATTTCTTTGGATGGTAGCGTAGGATTAGACTATATCTGCATATTACTAAGATAACCAAGTCACTGATTTAAAGTATCTGCCTATAGCTCTACCTAGGAATTTCCAGTGGTTCATAATAAAAGGTTCGCTTCTCTCATACAGCATTGTTAATAAGCCAGAATATCTTTTGTTGCTTTTTTCCTTCCTTCCTCCCACCCTCCCTCCCCCCGCCACTCCCTTTTCCTCTCTGTCATGCCTTCATTCGTTCATTTCTTTTGAGGGGAGGATAAAAGAAAGAATAACATGATTATTGCACAGTAGCATGGGTTTTTCACATACCTTCAGCCTTACAGTGTAGGATTTTGAAGCTCAGCTGTGTATCAGGTTACCCTTAATGTTGCAAGGCTCTTACCAAATACCACTTTCTTCTTTACTTATTTTAACCTTTCTTCTAATCACTACCAAAGCCCTTTCATTTAAAAAGCATTTTTTTTGCCAACATGATTGGGTCACCGTGTGGTAATTCTGTGCATGCTGGAGAAATTTTACCTTAATTCTGGAACTAGTTCTTTTTCCTCCCTTTAGGTTTGCATTTTTAACTTACAAATAATACATAATTGTTATAAAAATTAAAAGTTAGAAAAGAGAAAATAATAAATAAAGTCACCTGAAATCCCACCAATCCAGATTCAGCATTTTGGTGAATATTTTTTAGACATTTTTCCCTCCAAATAATGAAATGAATGAATTTCTTTAGTTTTATATTCTGCTTTTTTCACTTAATACCTTATGAATATTTTTTCATTGTAGTACCTGTGGTTATATATCCTTTTGTTCTTTAAAAATGCTGTAACGGACTAAACCTCTTTTACTTTTGCACATATGGACAATTTACCTAGAAATAAAATTATCATAAAAAAATATGTATTTTTTTAAGACTTTAAATGGAATTTGAAAGACTTTGAAAAGATAATTTTTTTTTTCAAAGACTTTGAAATTGCACTGTCTTCTTGCCTGATTTGGTTAGTCAAGTGAGTAGGAGGAAACCAGTTCTTTCAGTTGTGTTTGGTTAGAGGTTATATTTTAGGAGTGTGGTTTCAAAATGTTCAACAGTGCTTGGGGACTCCTTGACACAGTTTCATAACTTTGAAATTTTGCCTTTGCCTTGTCTTACATTGCTTTAAATAAGAAACTCATATCAGCAAAATATAATAGTCTAGTAAAGCAGAAATTCTGCGAAATACTTGATGTATACCATTGTTTTTAAGTTCATTATATTGTGCAAACTAGAATGGCCCCCAAAAGTTCATTTTTTCATTAACATCGAACTCATCTTTACCATTTCTAAACCATAAACACAAACATTTATAGAATTTAATTTTAAATTATATGCTCTGATTAGCTTTGATAGATGGTTTGGAAGTGTGCTAATTTTATTGCTTTCTTAATCAGCTCTTATTTTAGAGGAGATTGCAATTGACTGTCATAATAAAGAAACTGAACAGAGGCTGCTTCAAGAGGCTCATGATTTGCACCTGTCTTCACTCCAACTAGCTAAGAAAGCTTTTGGGGAATTTAATGTACAGACTGCAAAACACTATGGAAACCTTGGAAGACTTTACCAGTCAATGAGAAAATTTAAGGTAGAAGCATGTTTTACTATCTTTTTCTCTCAGTAAATAATTTTAGGTAATAAATTATAATCTTAAATAATATATCTTCAGTAATCTTCACTAATAAATGTACACTTACTATACGTCTACCTTGTTCCACAAAATAATTGAGAAAATAACATAAAACAGCAGAGTCAAAATAGAAATAAAATTCAAAATCTAAACCATGGAAAAATAAGGCATATCAAACCATGAAGGTTAATATGGTTATTATAGTTAGACTTAAAACATAGCTATTAGCAGGGCACCTGTCTGGCTCAGTCAAAAGAGAATGTGACTCTTGATCTCAGGGTTGTGAGTTCAAGCCCCACGTTGGGTGTAGAGATTACTTAAATAAATAAAAACTTCAGGAAAAAAACAAAAACAGGGACCCCTGGGTGGCTCAGTCAATTGGGCATCCAGCTCTTGGTTTCAGCTCCGGTCATGATCTTATGCGTTGTGAGAAATGAGCCTCCGTTGGGCTCCCCAGTCAACGGGAAGTCTGCTTGAAGATTATCTCCCTCTGTTCCTCCACCAGCTTCTGTGCACACACACAGTCTCTCTTCACTTGCTGTCTCTGAAAATAAATAAAATCTTTAAACAACAACAACATAGCGTTAACTTTGTTAAGTGTAGCCCTTACCAGGGGCTCCTGGTTGTCACAGTAGGTTAAGTGTCTGCCTTTGGCTCAGATCATAATCCTGGGGGTCCTGAGATCGTCCTGGGATCATTCTGGCATCATCCGGCTCCTTGCTCAATGGGGAGTCTGCTTCTCCCTCTGCTTCTCCCCCAGCTCATGTTCTCTCTTTCTCCCTCTCTCTCTCTCAAATAAAGAAATAAAATCTTTAAAAAGAAAAAAAAGTATGGCCCTTAGCATAATGTTCGGCACGTGGTAGGTACGCAAGAAATGTCAAATACTGCAAGTATTATTAATTGTGATAAAAATTTACTGAATTCTCTCTAAAAATTTTGGATTATAAGTTTTTAATATTGTTCATTTTAGGGTCACAATAAGGACAGGATGAGAGTCACTGCCTAAGATACTATTTTTTACCTGAAAATCCATTACATATCCCTCACTCAACCTGAGTTTTGTTTGTTGGAATAAAAATTATCAGAATTCCAAAATAAAGTGTGTATCTATGTAACTGAATGTACTATAGTATGGAGTTTCTTAACAAGGTTCAGTTAAATTTTGGAGCATGTTAAGAAAGAAATAATTTTCATTTTGGAAACTTTTTATGTTAATTTCTTCTAACAATTTTTCATTACCAGGACAGATTTTCTCATCATTTTTGGCGTAGAACACTTACTGTCCTCAGCTTATGTGCATAGCTGCCCAAACCAGTAATGCTTCCCATAAGCAACTTTTGGATTAACATAGTATGTCCTCTGATCTCCTTAGCACTTAGAAGAGTTTTACTTGGGACGAATTGTTACTATGAGAGTATAATCTAATGGCTAAAACAGCTCAATTATTTTTCAGGAAGCTGAAGAAATGCATATCAAAGCAATTCAGATAAAAGAGCAACTTCTTGGTCAAGAAGATTATGAAGTAGCCCTTTCAGTGGGACATCTGGCTTCTCTATACAATTATGACATGAATCAGTATGAAAATGCTGAGAAACTTTATTTGCGATCTATAGCAATTGGTATGTTTTTTTAAAATTTCTTAGTTGATTAGAAATAACATGTAACATATCTTGTATGTTGTGTAAGGGAAGTGTAATTATGAAGATTTAAATGAGCTTAGAGCCGCTAAGGATATCCAGAAGCCACCCAAAAATCATCTCAAACATTTTGCTAAAGGGGATTTACTGATCTTGAAGCCAGTGATAAGAAGTAATGACCGTTGAGGCGGAGTGTCAGGTATAGGCAAAAGCAGTTATTCTAAACTAGTTACGTAATTAGTACTCCCTTCATCTCCCTTCTTCTGACTGTAACATAGATCAGGTTTACCAGTTTTTGAATATAATATCAGTGGAATCATACGATGTATATTTTTACATTTTGGTGAACATGAATTGTGAAATACATCTGTGTTGTTCTGTAACACTATCGCTTATTAATTTCCAGGGTTATATAATATTTTATTGGATTAGTATATCATTATTTATCCATTCTACTGTTAATGGGTATTCAGAACATTTGGATTGTTTACATTTTGGGCCTGTTACAAAATAAGATACTGTAATTATCATCTAATGTGCCTGTTAAAATTTTTCCCTGTTTTGGGAACACCTGGCTGGCTCAGTTGGAAGAGCATGTGACTCTTGATCTCAGGGAAATGGCTTTGAGCCCTGTGTTAAAAGTTTTAGAGTTTACTTAAGAAAAAAAAATTCTTCCCTATTTTTATATTGGATTGTCTGTCATTCCTTATTGATTTACAGAATGTCTTTATATACTATGGATGCAGCAAGCCCTTTGTTGGTTATATATTTTGCAAATAGATAACTCTGCTGCTTGTTTCTAAATGGTACCTTTCATAGAACAGAAGTTCTCAATTCTAATATTAATCTTGTCTCTGGGTACCCAATCTCATTAGTTCCTCAGCCTAGGGAATAAGATGAAACCACCTTATTTAAAGAATTGAACTTGTGTTGTCTTTTAAGAACCTCTTATTGTTTCATTACTTGAGCTTTCTTTCTTTCTTTCTTTTGTGCGTGTGTGTATGCGTGTTTTACTTTCAGGGAAGAAACTGTTTGGTGAAGGCTACAGTGGACTAGAATATGATTACCGAGGTCTCATTAAACTTTACAACTCCATTGGAAATTATGAGAAAGTGTTTGAATATCACAATGTTCTTTCTAACTGGAACCGGTTGCGAGATCGTCAGTATTCAGTGACCGATGCTCTTGAAGATGTCAACACCAGCCCCCAGTCCACTGAAGAAGTGGTGCAGTCCTTCTTGATTTCTCAGAATGTTGAGGGACCGAGCTGCTGAGGGAGGACCTCAGTTAACTAATTTACCTTTTCCCAGATTCCAGGGAATTCATACTGTGAAATCAAAACCATGTTGTTTTTTGGGGCTGGAATTTGCATTGAAACACTGGTCCAGTCCATTGACCCTATTTGGGTGATCCCTATCTTGCAGAGTGTCTGTAGGAATAAGCATATATTCAGTTATATTCAGCATGTACCGCATGTATAAGTAGTCTGGCCCATATTTTCAACCTAGTAGAACAAACAACAGGAAATCTTTTTTTTTTTTTTTAAATAATTCATTTTGCAGAAAGCCTGAAAAGAACCCCTAAATAAAACTATTTAAGAGTTTAAAAGAGTTGCATTCTTATTACGTAAGGATGATTTTAACAACTTTTTAACATATTCTTCCTTGTGGAGGTATTCAATACTGTATTGTAAAGATATTTTATGGGGAAAATCTTTATATGCAGTATAGAAAAGTTAACACAGTGCTAGTAGAAGAGGGACATCCTGACTTAGGTTTGGCTACCTTACCCAGAGAAGTGGATGCAACCACTCCAGAGCTCTGTTACAAGGGGAGGACTGTCAGATTCATCTGAACTGGACCAGTGTTGATCTGTAAGTAATAGAAAAGCTGACAGACCAGCAGTTTTATTAACCCTTTGGTTGTTTCAGGGTTTTTTGGTACAACAATACAAGATGCTCTGATAGCGTTTGCTTACAGGACCAGGAGGACCTAAAAAGGACCAGCCTAATGTAGAAAGGGGTTATTTGGACCAGAGGCTTTAGGTTACTATTTTAGCCCCTGCATATACTTTTATCAGTAGAGTGTTTCATTTAGAGGTATAACGAAAAGTGATAATGCAAAAATTATATTCATGTAATTAGACACCAAACCAGGGAAATTTGGCAATTACAGTGGCATATCTTTAGTCTATGTGCACAGATGGCAATACCATAAGCAAGTCTATAAATATCTGCTGCAACCATCCCCCTCATTTTAAATGTTATCCTAATAATCAATGCAATTAACAAGTATATTGGCTAAGAGTCATGAAATAGCTCATGGGTGGGAATTTCAGGTTACTATATGGCTTGTGGGGATTAATGGAAAAACGAGTGCCCAAAAGAAGCAATTCTTAGAAATTCTTCGTTTTTATGGTAAATAATAGTACAACTATGTCATTTTCTTTGAAATTCAAGAGTCAAATGCAGAGATCCCCTAATTATATATGTTTCACTAACTTGTCTTCCTGTTTATTGGGTTTTGATTTTTTCTTAATCTTATGCCAGTCAGGTTATTTAATGTTGAGGTAATTAATATTCAAATTTGGAAAGTTGTGACATGCAGCAATTAAGAAACAAAGTCTTTTGCTGTTACCTCAGTTCTTACTATAGTGGCCTATGTGGTGTCTCTATAGTTAAGAATCAGGGTTTCCCCCCCCTATTTTCAGGGGTTCATGACTTGGCTGTCAGATGTTGCTCTTGGCTAATGCTTGGAGTAGTCTGTAGGTGAGTGGATGTGTGTTGAATTTTGGTTTTCTTTTAACATGCACATTAGGGTTGGAGGGGGGAAGAAATGTAAACTGCCACATTGAGTACAGAAAAATTAATTGGAGATTTCGGGTAAATTTGATTTTAAACACTTTTTTGGGCTTCCCAAACCTAATCTTGTTTAAAACTGTTAATTGCAGTCTTGTTAGTTACTTAAAAACACTGGCTTGTTTTTAAGTAGGGGATTGACTGGGAAGGTACATAAAGAGATGAAGCAAGCCCAGACACTAAGACTGTAACTATGATTTCAAAACCTGGGTTTATTCCTCAAATTGAATTATTTCTTTTTCATTTTAAAGAGTACATTGGCACACCTGCCCCTCCCCTCACAGTTAATGCAGTCTAATGCCAAGAGGCACCTCTTTATTAATTACCAAATAGTCTGTGTGACCAAGGACTAACATTTATCAAGTTACTCAGCTCTATCCTCATGGGCCTATATATTTAATACCTCCAAAGATATTTCCAGGATAGGCTTTGTATACTTTTGTTGGTTATTTAGAGTCCTGTGGTATGTTTGTGGTATAGGAATGTCATGGTAAATTGTTTTTCAATAAATATTTTGAAACTTAACGTTTCCATATGAAGTTGTTTTTTTTTTTTTAATCAATGTGTATCTTTTGGTTTTGTGCACATGTAGCATTTCCTAGGATAAAATAAAGCAAATAACTTAAGGCCTCATCCTCTCTTGATTCAGTTTGAGCTCTACTTAGCTCACAGTGATAAAGCAACATGATACTTAGAAGCCTAAGATCACAGGGTGATAATGTTATGTGGCAGCCAGTTTTTCTAAAAAAAAAATCGCTAGTTTCCCTTTATTACCACTGCTTTCATGTAGTTTTCTATAAATCTGTACACTTTGATTTAATGCAAAAACTGTAGGCTGAAAAAAGAGATTGACAGCTTGTTAGTGATACAACAAATAGTATGCTATTAATTCAGGTTGTAATGAAGAATAATACCCTAATGATTCTAAGTGTGGGATTTATCCTTTTCCTGGGGATGTTTAAGGTAGGTTAGAGAGGTGAATGTTACCTTGCTTTATGGGGTTAAAAAGAATACAAAGAAAAGAATGAAATGTACCTCACAATAACCAATAGGCTGCACAGATTTTTCACATATGGTGGGTTTGTGTGTAAGGAAGCCTAGACCAACTATAAGATTTTTCTGGAAGTACAGCAAAGTCATGTTAAATAAGGGGCCTTTGGTCTCATCCTTCCTGACTTTGATTTCTTCTCTTTTACCCAGTCTTTTTCCTAAAGTTGGTGCTACTCAGATTGGGTGCATCAGGGGGCTCTGTGATCCTCCTGTGCCACACAGATGGTCAGTCCCTCCTGCATCCAGTGTAATAGAACTGATGGGGCTCTTCAGACCACAGTTTTTATGGGTCCCCAAAGCTGACTTTCTCAAAGCTTTAGGACCATTCTTGTCATCGAAGCTCTGTCTCCTTGGTTAAAAACAAACTCACTGTTGCTCTGTAGTAATCTGTGTGCAGGTATGCACTCATTTGTGAAAATAAAAGATTTGACAAAGGCCTTTGTTCCTAGCCTGCTTGGGAAGAGTTCGTAATGTTGTGAAAATTAAGTACAGAGGCTGCTACCTTATAAATAAACAAGAGTGCCATTTGGTGGCTCCTTACATGCAAACAGTGCTGAGCAGTCAACATCTAAAACACGACTGAAGCTTTTGGCCATACTTTACAAATTGAGAACGATGGTTTGCTTAAGTAGCAGGTATTCTTAACTGCCACTTGGTCTTTATCTTTTCCCTAGAATTCATAGCCTTGCTGCTGGCAAAACTGTTCCCTTTCTGGATGACAAAGTTACTACTGGAAAAATACTTATTTATATAAGTACGAACTTTTTTAAGAGTTTTATTTTTGCTTTAAAAATTAATGTATATATTTCACCTCTTGGCTTTGGAGGACCTCAGTTCTTGCTAGGAAAGAAAAAATTTTTTTAATCGGACATTTGGATTTTTCTCCAGCTTGAACACTAGTAGTTGTATTGTCCACAAATCTCAGGAATGTGTTAGGCAGAAAACTGGTTTTACCCTGTCGGTGATCTGAAGGAGTGTGCTTATTAAGTAATACTATTCTTTAATTGCAATCCTAGGTATCTATAGCATGAGTGGCCTTAGTGAGTTTGTTGAAGTGCACATTTTTTTTCAAAAGTAAAATTTAAGATTAAAAATATATGCTATATATAGATATCTAGAAAACCTGGTTTGTGGTGCACAAGTTAAGTGTTGGATCACTAAATAATCGTTGCAGGTACCATTTGTGTAACATTACTCATTTCTGTATATTCCTTTTATGGAAAGATATGTTGCCATGGTAACTAAAAACTTTTCAATTTAGTTCTACTTTTATGATGTGAATGAATGCTACATTTTATTAAATATTACCAAGTCAGTACTATTTTTATACTTTACTAAGCAACAGGGGATTTTAGTTTAATAGGCTCAAGAGCTCTTAAACAAATTACTAACAATTCTTTACATGAAAATCCCCACTAATAGTGCCACAGTAATTTCTATAGAAATATCTAGGGTCATTGATAGATTTTTTAAGACAATTCTTCATTGTGTCAGAATGATCTTTCATATCATCCTTAACAAAAACTTGTAGTGCCCACCATTATTTGTAACCATTGGAACCATACTAAGTATGTTTGTAACCAGCATTGTGATATATTCTGTACTTGTATTGCTAAAAATTAATTATTGACCTAATAAATATAGTGTTCCTGCCTTCGTAGTGTATCTGTTTCCATTTCAGTTTGATCACTTTTGGTCGGGACTTGGGATTATTGCTGCAACCTGTTTTTATTAGAGAACAGTGCAAGAGAAACTGTTGAAACTAGAACAAAAGTGTTCTTGTTTGAGAAAAATAAGATGCGTGGCAGAGGAGACACATGGTACCAGCATCTGGAGATGGTGCTTATGAAACTACTTTGGAAAAAACAGCAGTACATTAATTAATGCGGGGGGTTTTAATCTTTACAAAAGTAACTACCCCATTCTTTTCCCTGGTCTTCCATCTCTGAAGGGCAGGAGGCCGGTGCAGAGACCTGAGGAAGTTGTGCCGGCGATAGTGGAGAAACCCTGCGTCTGTTTCACTTCCAGCTCAGCCTCTGGGCAGTAGGAATTTGAGGTACGTCATTATAAGTAAGCCTCTTTGTGTTTCATTTCCTTGTATGAATGGTGGGGTCATATTAGGTCTTTAAGAAAATCTGCCATGGAACAGCGTTGAATCGTAAGCACACAGAACAGCTAGTGCCGGAAATGAAACCACAGTTTAAATTACTATAAAGAAAATTAACATTTCGACAATATCCCACCTTCACTTTGAATAGTCAGCACTGGTTTGATCTCGCCTGCCACCTGCAGTGATAACTGACTTTTTTTACATTTTTCTTTTTACATTCCCATGACTTTGAACATGCTGTTCTCTCTTTAATATGGAATGCCATTTCCTGCTTAAACTTTTATTTATCTGTCAAGCTCGGAGGACAAGGAAGCCTTCCCTGAAAGTTTGAGTAGCCTCTTCTTGGTACTTCAGCGGCATTTTATTTAAAACTTAGTCATTACCCTATAATCATATAACTTAAAGAATTAACACTTTCCAGCTTATAAGTGTTGCTGATTTGTGCATTTAACAAATTTTACGTAGAATTTACTCCGTAGCAGATACTGTTCTAAATGTTAGCCAACCACACCCACTTATTTTATACATATTCGTTTCTACAGTTCGAAAATTCAAAGCAAACTCAAACTCCTCAGGATGGTTATTACCAAAAAAATAAAGTGTTGGCAAGGATGTAGAAAAGTTGGAAACCTCATGCATTATTGGTAGGATTATAAAAAGGTGCACCTGCTAGGAACAACAGTAAAGTGGTTCCTCAAAAAATTAAAAATGGAATTACCATGTGATCTAGCAATTCTTCTTAGGGGTGGATGTTCAAAAGAATTGAAAGGATCTTTGATTTGTACACCATGTTCATAGCATTATTAATGATAACC